AATCAGCTAAAATGATGTGGATGACACATGGGAAATTAGGCACACATTGGAATCATCTACAAACCAATAGGAAGTTGCCACCTTGCAAGTGTGACAAGGCTCCCATTTACATTTTAATTTCTTTTTCCTTATTTTAATTAAGCTTCAGCTGATGGGAGACACCAAGGAGCACGCCATTTTAAGCCCCAAATGGGATCCAACACATATCTCATTCATCTTCCACATTCTCTCTCTCTTGTTCATAGTGTTCTTCATTTTCTCTCTTCTGTTCTTCATTTTCCAGCACCCTAACCTCCATTTTCAGCCACCAAACCTCCACAAAACTCATACCATTCTTCTCCTCTCTTCATTTTCGTTCCATCCTTTCCATTTTCACAAGGATTGAAGCTCATTTCCATCATTCAAGAGCTATGGAGTTTGGCCTTCACAAGCAATCACTAGGGTTCTTGAAGATGAAGATTGGCTAAGTTTCTTTGTGGAATCCTAGAGAGATGAAGATGGAGGATGAGTCTTGAGCTTCAAATTGGCTAAGTTCTTTTGTTTCCTATCCTCTTCTCTTTTTACTAGATGGTTAGATTTCTTAATATAGGGTTTAATCATCTTAGCTTATAAATTCTAATTTGAATTTGATGTTGATGTAAAGAGAGAGGATTGTTTCATTTTATTTCTCCCTTGGACAGCCATGACTGAATTTTGCCACTCTTTGTTTGGCACATAATCTTGTGTTTTTCAATTAGTGAATTTCTTGTGTTAATATTGCATAATCTTGTGGTGTTAATGCTTGTGTTGTTGAGTAGCTTGACATAATCTTGTGGTTGCTCAATTTATGTGTTTGACCATGGCTGTTGAGAGAGGATTTTGAGTGAATCACTTGGCTAATGTCTTCACCAATTGGTTAATTGAACTAGGGACTTTAATCTAAGACCTAGGGAGGTTAGCTAATTAGGTTAATTGGCTTAGGATAATTTTCTTAAGTCATGACAGCTTTAGTCAAGAGGAAAGGGAAGCTAAACTTAGCCTAATCATGAGAAGATAATGAGTCCAAAATCAACTAATCTCTAGGTTTCCATTATTGTAAAAAGGGAAGTTCATTTCACTCACTTTCACTAGCATTTTAATTACTTGCACATTAGGTAATTAGTTTAGATAATTAGCTAGGTAACTAAATTCCTACAAACTTTGGTTGATTTATTTCACTAGATAACTTTCAATTAGACTTAAAACCATTCCTTGGGAGATGACCTAGGGTTGGCCCTATATTGCATTAGGGTTAGCTTTAGTGTAATTTTGAGGATAAGCGACTAATTTCCTATCACTAGACTTAAATAAATCCCTAGCCACTCTAAGTTAGATTAGGGGGTGAAATTATCCCCTATTTTAGAACCTTAAACCAACAACCCAAAACCTACAAATATATATATATATATATATGCACTACAAAAAAATTGACTTTTGCCGCTGCCAAAAGTCTAAAAGTCATTGCTAAAAGTTTTTAGTGGCAACTTTCCGTCGCTAAAAGTCGTCGCTATAACAATCGTCGCTAATAGTTTTTGGCGGTGACAAATATTATCATCGCCAAAAGTATATGTTAGTGGTGACAAGCAAATAGACTTTTTAGCGGCAACAAATGTCACTACTAAAAAGACTTTTAGCGGTGACAATTAAACTTTTTTTAAGAAATAGTAATTTGTTTTATGCCACATCACTCTGCCACGTGTGCATTAAGTGATGCCACGTCATCTACCATATATGCAACAGATTATACCATGTCACTTACCATCTTGTGCCATGTTACAGTCCATATGTTCAACAGATAATGCCACATCACCTATCCATCTCATGCCATGTCACATGACATGTGTACACTTCCTCAAACCACTTCATATGCCACGCCACCATCTCGTGCCATGTCACCTGCCACATGTGTGCCCCCTCAAGCTACCTCATGTGCCACACTACTATCTCGTGCCACATCACCTGTCATGTATGTGCATTCTCAAACCACCTCACATGCCACGTCACCACCACATGTCATGTCATATATTTGTTGCAAAATATGACAAAACTAAGGTTTGAACCTTTAACCTCTCCCTTCTCCAAGCCTTAAACCTCCCTTCTTTGTCAGTTGAACTGAAATGCATCTGCAATTATTATATGCGAAATTAAATATATATGATGTAACTGCATACACATATATCACATAATATATGATTAAAAAAATATACATATATTATATTTTATTTTCAATTATTAATATGACAAAATGATTTCTATGAATATTTAAATTATAATTTTAATAAAATATTATTTTTTACCAGTAAATATTATTTTTTAGAAACATAAACTTAAAAGAAACAATTTTTAAATATTAAATAATATTCTTATATACATTGTAATAAATTTTTAAATTATATTTTTATTTTTTAAATGAAAATTATTAAGTATATAATTTATTTATAAATATGTATTATATTATTTCATGTTAAATATGTTTTACTTTTTTCTTCTCCATATTTTTCTAAAAAATTGATAAAATAAATGATTAAATTTTTATCTTCTCTCAAATAGCTAAATATTTCCCCCTCTTTTAATAAAAATATATTTTATAGATAATTTTTCAATATCTTAAAAAATTATTTTAATAAAAAATTAATTTTAACCACAGAAATTTTGTTAATAGTCATTTTGAATAATTTTAAAAATGAATACTAATAACTTTTACAATATATGATACTTATAAGAATTTCATATGTGATCAATCTAGTTAATATCTAATCATCTTTAATCTCATAGCAAGATAGATTTGAGTAGTTATTCATATTATTCTTAGTAATAATTAGTTATAAAATGTTATTATAGCAATGAAAACCTAAATATACTAGGAGAAATTACATGAAATCCTTATCCAAAAGTCATTAGAGTTCAATAGAAGAAGTAAATACCATATGTATATCAAGTTAAGCATAAAGTGTGCAATATGCTAAGTAATCTATAATATCATTTGCATCTCACGACATTTCTACAACTTTAATTTCCCAATGCCATTTATATATTTGATTATAAGTAATAATTTATGTATAATTTAACCTAATTATAATTGAAGTAATAACCCATTAAGATTTTAATTTATCATATTAAAATACTAGCTTAATAACATAATTCTTAAAAAAATATGAGCTATATAAAATTAAAAAAATTAATAATTAAACTTAGCACACTTTGACTATTATTTTTTTTTGTTTCACATTCCTATATATAATTTATTTTTAATTCTATACATAAAATAAGAAATTTAATTTTATAAATATATTTTGAATAAATTTATTTAATTTCAAATTTTTAAAACAATTAATAATTTTTTTAAAAAAACTAAATTATAATTTTACAAACATTACCATCAAAAGTAGATTATATAAATTATTTTTTATAATAATACTTTTGTCACCGCCAAAAGTAAATTATATTAATTATTTTTTAATTTTTAAATTATTTTTTATAAAAATATTTTTGGCGGCAACAAAAATAAATTATATTAATTATTTTTAATTTTTAATTTATTTTTTATAAAAATACTTTTGGTGGCAATAATCTGTCGCTACCAAAAGTAAATTATATTAATTATTTTTAATTTTTAAATTTTTTATAAAAATATTTTTGACAGCAACAAATATTATATTAATTATTTTAAATTTTTAAATTATTTTTTTATAAAAATACTTTGTCACCGTCAAGAGTAAATTATATTAATTATTTTTAATTTTTAATTTATTTTTTATAAAAATACTTTTGACGGCAACATTTAGTGGACTTTTAGCGGCGATAAATTTTGGCGATGACTTTGATTTATTGCCGCTAAAAATATAGTTTTGGTGGCGACTTATCGTTGCCGAAAGTCGACTTTTGGCGGTGACTTAAAAAATTACTGCTAAAAGTCATCGTCAAAAGTCATATTTTTTGTAGTGATGGGAGAATGAGTACAAGAGCTTGCCTCATGTTTTTAAAGCTCAAACTGGCATCCACTTAGATGTTGTTAACAGTGAACCCTAGTAGAGCTTTACGCATTTTCTCTTGACCTCTCACTCTTTCTATTTTTGCTTTTATTTCACCAACTAATAGTAACAGAAACTCTAATCTAGTCCATTAATTTGAAACCAATGTGGCCAATACCCCATAAGGCCTAAATTTTATATTATAATATTTTATGCTCTTTTTCTAAAATGTAAGTTATAATATTCAAAAATTAAAATACATAATAAAAATTCTAATTTTAAAACATAAAATATATTTAAAGTATAAATTTAATTTAAAAATTTAAAATTTAATTTTTTAGTGGCAAAATATAAAAAGGACTAAACATGCTGTTTGAACTTACTTTTACTGGGCCTAAACGGGCCAAGCTTAGAAGCTTGATTACATCAAATTTTTTTAATTTTTCAAGCTTGAGCCCTTAAAGAAATGGACTTAAACAAGAAGCCCATTAAGCTCGATCCGTATTCTTAACTCTATATACTTATATTAAAAATTAAAAATTAAAAGTAACTTGATTTAAATATAATAATTTAAAGTGCTGATTTTATTCTAGAATTAAAGATCATTTTTCCTAAATTTTTTTGAGGAGAACATAAAATAGTTGGAATAGTTGTAAGGCCCACATATAAAAATAGCAAAGCATTCTAGCCCATTTCATTGTTGTTTTGCTACTAAAACAAAACCCGATTCTTGTATTGTCACCGTCATTTTTAACCCACTTGACCCATATTAAATGTTCAAAATAAGCCATAATATCTTACTATCATTATGCGTAAGCTCTATAACTATTCTACATTAAAAGATAATAGAGAAGATAATGAATGAATTTATGATATAAAGGTGATTTTGTTCATAAAAAAATTATTTAGGGGGATAAAAACGTCGAGGAGAAAAAAATAATTTTTAACCAAATATTTTCTTTTTTTTTTTTTTTAAGTTCCACGACTACAATGCTTCGGCATCATAAAGGATGAGCCAAACGGCATCAGAAGCCAAATATGTCGCCGTCTTCTGGCCTGTCGCCCCCTCAAGTCCCGATGGAGCTTCATGCCAACAATCGAGAAAAGCTCCTGAGGTCACTTCGCCAACGCCTCGCTGAGTCTTCCCGTCGTCTTCATGGCTTCGTCCTTCTTCAGGTTCTTCTTTCATCATGGGCATTTGTGATAAACAGAAATGACTTGTGCATGTTCTTTTGAGTTATAACTCTCTAATAAATTATCTACTTTTTCGCCAGGGTGGCGAAGAGCAAACACGTTACGATACGGACCACATCGAACTCTTCAGGTGTCTGATTTGTGCGTTGGATGATGATTTTTTACCTTAGAATTTTTAATGATAAAATTATGTTCTAAGCTAAAGAGAAGCATCTGTATTGTTTGTTTGATTGGATGTACGTTAATTTAATTACCTAGTTAAATTTAATCTAAATCAAGTTAAAGCTCCGTGATCGATTTATTTTTTCATTTCCCCGGGGGTGACCGGAGCTGGCTGTAGCAATGTATGACCGGTAATTATACTATTATAGTAAATCACCACCTTAATGTAAACTTGCATATTTTTTCTTATTTTCTGGTACTTAAGTATGCATACATCTTTCAGACTTATTGTGACAAGTGCACATCTCAGTTTTAATAACCGGAAATTGATGGCTGCTTGGTTTGCACTTTGCAGGCAGGAGAGTTACTTTGCCTACTTGTTTGGAGTGAAGGAGCCTGGGTTTTATGGAGCTATTGTTCGTTTGTTTCATTTCAATGATTGAGTTGTCTTTTACATTGTTTCTCATCTTTCTCTTTCATGCATTCTTCCTTTTCATTCCTATGCTCTCTTTCATTTCAATTTATCCTGACATTTGGTGTTAGCCTATTAGGTAACTCTACTATGATAATTATATTGAATACTTTGCTTGGTTTATAGCCAAAACTACTCATATGATTTTATATACAATGGCATTTGCTTTGATAGGTTCATACCACGATCATATAGATAAAGAAAAACTATGTTCCTAAATAATTTATGATTGTTTCACGTTAGCTTATATATATATATAGATTTAGCAATTAATTAATTGTTTCAGCTTTGTTTACTGGCTAAAATCCAGGCTATATAATGTTTGGTAACATTATTCTGGAGGCAAAGACTCTTGAAGGCTGATTCATGTGACATGTTCTCCAAGTATTACACTACCACTCTAAACCAACATGAAAAAATTAATTATGATTCCACGTTAGCTACTTCTGTTTGTGTGGTTAAATTGAATATTAAGTGTTTTTTTAGCATGGAACCAAATTTGGTTAATTAATCTTGAATCAGTATAAATAAGATGGTGTCATAGAAGTCGACTGATTGGCCTCATTTGAATCAGAGAGTCAATCTAGTATTTCTTCTTGAGTCCTTTATTCATTGATCCTGTCCTGTGTGTAAATGTGTCCTGTTTGAATGTTTGGCTGCTAGTTCGAGTTATATATCACTATGAAATTCTCAAATTTTACTTCCTTTATTTTTTTTTTAAGGACATTTCAACTGGAAAATCAATACTGTTTGCTCCTAGGTTGCCCGCAGAATATGCTGTTTGGTTGGGAAAGATAAAGCCACTAACTTATTTGAAGGTAATTGATTAAATAATTAGTTTTGATGGATTGATAAGATTCACATTTAAAGAATGCTTAGTGGCTAACATCTATACATCCTGTTGCAGGAAAATTACATGGTCAGTATCGTATACTTTGTAGATGAAATTGCAAGAGTTTTGCAAGACCATTACCAGAGTTCAGGGAAGCCTCTGCTGTTTCTCTTGCATGGGCTTAACACAGATAGCAATAAATTTTCTAAACCTGCAGAATTTGAGGTTAAACTTTAATATAATGATTCATTTGAGCCACTCGTGCATGCACTTATCTGTTGAACAGATTAGGACAGTGAATAGAATAGTTTTTTTTTTTGTAGTATTTGTATTGTTTCTGATTTGCGGCACCTGTTTTATGTATTTATGCATGATGATATGATAATACTGCTATCTTTTTCAGGAATCACTTTCTTATAGTAATTAATATATCTATCATTTATCATGTTATTTCCTTCTAGGGCTTGGATGAGTTTGAAATAGATCTGGAAACCTTGCATCCTATATTGACTGAATGCCGTGTTATCAAGTCAGAGTTGGAGATTGCTCTAATTCAGTATGCCAATGATATAAGCTCTGAAGCTCATGTTGAGGTTACTGTTCCTAACATGTTCTCTTATTTCCTGTTACATGGGTATAGGTTCAAATTTATATGCATGTGTTTTGTAGGCATGTAAGCAATTATTACAAACAAAATTGATCTTTTGAGTAGTTTTTGGAATTTCGATGATTACCCTGGCATTTTTCATGGAGTTTGTTTTCATTGGTGATGACTTCTATAGGTTCATGGATTTGGAGTCAACTTAAAATAGAGGAAATAGGATTTGTTTATCTCAATCTAAAAATAAATAACTTTAGTTTTAGAATCTTCCTAATTTGAGGCAGCTTGCACTGCTTATGAAGGAAAATATTTTTGAAAGTACATTTGGGCTTTTGCAACATCTTTTTGGCAGAATATGAGCGGACAAGACTAAACCAAATGAAAGGCATTCTTTTTCTTCCCCGTGTTCTATTAATGCATACACAGAGATAACCTGATGTTTGAAAAGCAAATTACTTTTTCCTGTATTTTTCCCCCATAAATATTCCCCCAAGGAATATTTTCTATTTTTCTATTTCTTTGTTCAATTCATCTTCCTCTTCTTTTTCACTTTGTATTTTATCACATTGAATTTGTTAAATTCTAATTTTACATGGGAATACTTTCAATTTGTAGATCTGTGATCCCAATGTGGAAGTGGGTTTGGCTGTAGTTATGCATTTTGTGATAATTCTTTTGTGCTTGTTACTATAATGAACCAGGTTATGAGAAATACTAAAGTGGGCATGAAGGAATATCAGCTGGAAAGCATGTTTCTTCACCATTCCTACATGTATGGTGGGTGTAGACATTGCTCCTACACATGTATTTGTGCTACTGGTGACAATAGGTACAAACGTCTGAAACTTTAAACATCATACGGATAATTCTGTGGTTGCACGATATTCTAGGAACCCCAAACAATGTGCACTATCTGTATTATTGGCTGCTGATTGAAGGTGCATAATCTAATTGTCAACAATGGGTATGCCAGAAAAATTGGCACCATGGAATCTTCTATTTATGTTTGTTACAATAAAGCAGTTCTTTGATATTTTCATCCAATTGTCCTTTAATATATACACGTATGTAAGATATTTCTTGATGTCTTGCATCTGATCTGTTGGTGCCATTTCATGATTGTCAATTTGGCTTAAGCATGTTGAAAGGTCTTATACATTATTTAGTGAAATACATTATTTAGTGAAAATGTTGTTTTTAACTAACATGAATTAGGCTATTGTGTTGCTTTTTCCTTTTAGATACTAATAATATTTATTACAAGGATGGTTAGCTAACTGTGGAAAATATGAATTAATTGCATCAAATATAGGAGAATCAAGAATATATAGGAAAATCAGGGATTGATTGCACTAGTTTCCATCATATTTATTGTATTTATTCTATTGCATTTATTGTAAATTATCATCATTGCTGTATAAATTCCCCTAAGATGTATGAATGAACTATGAAATGAGAATATACAATTTTTCCTCACTAAATTTCCACATGGTATTAGAGCCAAGAGGGTTTGAAAAAATTCTTTGCTTAGGGTTAGAGCTCTAGGTTGAGATAACATCTCATTTTTGGAAAATGGCCTTAGTTTGGCATCTTTGGTTAGTCATGTGTGTGATGGTAGAGAGCTTGTTGACTCTCACCACCGTCCCAATGAGATGTTGATTGGCCAACCCCAGAAATCTCACGGCAAATGGTAGTGCATATAGCTCACACGCGCCACCTAGCGAGTCTGACGTAGTGGAAGGGTGGCAACGCTTGGGGGCGTATGAAGCCTTTGGTTGGACCGTGCCTTCCTTTTCTGGCAGTAGCGTGCTGTTTCCAGCAAGATCCAGGTGCTTCCTAAGTTCGAGGAGCCCTCTATTTGAATGTCCATATCATATGTACCTCTTTTTGCATTGTAGCCTTCTGTGTTTAGGGTTATCGTGCTTGATTCCTCTCTATTATGAGAGATTTTTTTTTTTTTTTTGAGGCTGTAGGAGTGTTAATGTGGTTACTCCTGATCATCAAACCACATGTACGCAGATCTGTACCTCTTGTATTAGTAGCAAAAAGAGGGATGTTTCTTTAGGCACTTAAGACATCTTGAGAATCCATAGTATGGATTGTTGACTCAGGAGCATCAGATCATATGACAAGTTGTCATAAGTTGTTTACTACTTACATCTCGTGTACTCAAAATGTTAAAGTGAAGATTGTAGATAGTTCCTTGGCCCCAATGGCTGAAAAAGGGAGTATTTGTATCTCAGATTCTATAGTATTATAATCTGTCCTTCATGTGCCCAAATTTGATTGTAATTTACTTTCAATCAGTCAATTGACCAAACAGTCAAATTGTTTTGCTAAATTTCTTCCATAACACTATGTGTTTTAGGATCTATTGACTGGTATGACAATTGGTAGTGCTAAGGAGCATGAAGGGTTATACTACTTCAAAGTCACTCGAGTGACTAATCACCACTCACCTTTTGTAAGTAACTCTGCATCGTCCACAACAATAATGAGTTTCTCTTATGGCATAAGGGGATGGGTCATCTTAATTTTCATTACCATAAGGGGTTGTTCCCTAATTTGTCCAAACCAAAATATGTGTGAAATCCAATGTGAGGTGTGTGAACTAGCTAAATAGCATCAAACTTCTTTTCCTAGAGCCTAATATACACCCTCCAAACCCTTCACAACCATACATAGTGACGTGTGGGGACATACTGGGTTCCCAATCATACCCATAGTAAGTGGTTCGTTACTTTCATAGATGATCATACCCATCTTTGTTAGGTCTATCTATTAAAAGACAAGTCTGAAGTTTCATCTATGTTCCCTACCTTCGATGCTATGATTAAGACCCAATTCCAGTCCAGTATTCAAATTTTGCATACCAACAATGGCACGGAATACTTTAACTAGACCTTGAGTATGTTTCTTTGAGAACATGGCATTGTCCAACAAAGTACTTGTGTGCATACCTTCCACTTTGAGTCTTTGGTTGTACCTCTTTTGTCCACCTTCACCAGAGTCCTAAACTTGAAGCTCATGCACTTAAGTGTATAATTTTAGGTTACCCACCCAAAAAGATTACAAGTGTTATGATCCTATCTCTAAATGTCTCTTCGTTACTCTTGATGTTGCCTTTTTTGAAGATACTCCATTCTATCCCCAGTCCTCAATTCAGGGGAAGAGTATAGATGAATTTCAGACTTTAGAAAGTGAAAGGCCCAACAGAGATTCCATTTCCAACGTGCCTACATTGTTTGAACCTCCTGAGGCCTTTGAACCCTCCTCTCTTGAACTAATTCCAGCTTTGCCATCACCAACAATTTCTCTTATGCCAGAACCTGAGGAAAATAGCGAAATGGGGGGAGATGCAAGAGAACCACAAGAGAGAGAGTTGTTTGTCTACACTCGAAAAAACAAATCGAAAGATAGTGAACAATTAATGCCTAAAGCACCAAACGAGTTAGAACTAGAGGTAGCTCTTTAAGTTAAAGCACCAAGGGAAATAGAGCCTGAGAGAACTCCTGAACTTCCAAATGCATTCATCCAATAAGCCAGATGGTCCTAAATCTACTAATATATATCACCCTATTGCTCTAAGGAAACAACCTCGCCCATGTACTCATCATCCTATAGAGAAATTTGTGTCTTATAAGGCTCTTTCGTCAAGACTATATGCTTTCATAACAAATATTGATAGGAAAAAAATACCTAGCAATATTCGTGAGGCATTTGAAATACCAAAATGGAGAAAGGTTGTTATGGAAGAGATGAAAGCTCTAGAAAAGGAACAACACTTGGGAAGAAGTTGATTTACCAACAGGAAAGAAGCTTGTTGGATGCCAATGGGTTTTTACACCAAAGTATAATGCTGATGGTTCCTTGGAGAAATGCAAAGCTCGTTTTGTTTAAAAAGGATTCACTTAGACCTATAGCATAGACGACATTGAGACATTTGCCCCCGTTGCAAAACTTAACATAGTCAGAGTATTATTATCTTTGGCTATGAATCTTGATTGGCCACTCCATCAATTAGACATCAAGAATGTTTTCCTCCATGGTGACTTAGCAGAAGAAGTCTATATGACCTTTCCCCCTGGTTTTGAAAAAAAAAAAATCAAGGTGTACAAGTTGAAGAAATCTCTTTACAGGCTAAAACAATTACCTAGAGTATAGTTTGATAGATTCTTAAAGGTACTAAAAAAGGAGAACTATCAGCAAGGCCAATTTAATCATATGCTCTTTGTTAAGCACGGGGAAGGAAAATAGGCTATACTTATTGTCTATGTAGATCATATGGTCATAACCGGTGATGACTTCGAGGAAATAGAGAGATTGAAGAAGGTTCTAGCCTCTGAATTTGAAGCAAAAGATCTGGGCTAAATGTGTTATTTTTTGGGCATGGAAGTAGCTAGGTCGAAGAAAGGAATATGCATCTCACAAAGGAAATATAAATATCAAAGTTTGGTAGGGAAGCTAATATATTTATCACATACGAGACCTAACATTGCCTTCGTCGTGAGCTTTGTAAGTTAGCATATCCACTTGTCAATGGAAATCCACTTACGAGCTGTGTATAGAATCATAAGGTACTTGAAAGGCACTCCAGGAAAGGGTTTATTCTTCAAAAGGGGTGAGCAACCTAATGTAGAAATATTTACTGACATTGATTGGGCTGGTGCCTTAGAGGATAGAAGATCTACATCCGGGTATCGTACCTTTGTTTGGGGTAATCTAGTAACTTGAAGGAGTAAAAAGTAGAATGTGGTGTATTGGAGTGCAGTAGAAGCTTTGTTTAGAGCTGTGGCACATGGGATTTGTGAGGGCTTGTGGTTGTAAATACTTCTCAAAGAACTATAGATTGGTGTAGAGTTGCCTATTAAGCTCTATTCTAATAGTAAAGCGGCCATAAGCATATCTCATAATATAGTCCAATGTGATAGAACGAAGCATGTTGAAATGGATAGACATTTCATCAAAGAAAAGATTGAAAGTAGAGTAGTATGCATAATATATGTTCCATCAAAGAAGCAAGCTGCTGATGTCCTTACCAAGGGCTTCCCAAAAGAGAACTTTGATGCATGCGTAAGCAAGTTGGACATGATAAATATTTATGATTCAACTTGAGGGTGAGTGTGGACAATCTGAATTAATTGCATTAGATACAAGAGAATCAAGAATGTATAGGAAAATTAGGGATTGATTATATCAGTTTCCATCATATTTATTGTATTTATTCTATTGCATTTATTGTAAATTATCATCATTGCTGTGTAAATTCCCTTAAGATGTATGAATAAACTATGAAATGAGAATATATAATTTTTCCTCACTAAATTTCCACACTGACATTGATGTTGTATCAACACAGTGCTGTTCTTCATTATGGGCATGCAGCAGCTCCTAATGACCGGATATGGTAGATTTGTATTTCTTTCCCCTTGAAGTTTATTACCAGCAGTTTATTACATTCAAGTAAACTATGTATACCCTAATGTTGTTCTAGTCCTGCTGGAGTAAGTTCCTGGCTCTTCCTCAATTTGTTACTAGTTCACATTAAATGCAAGTACTCTCCTCTCTAGTGAGAAGAAAGACGTGTTACAATGATAAAACACTCACTCTAATGATAAGTGAAATAGCTGCTGAGAAAATAACACTTTCACACATTGAACTAGTAATAACAGCAACATAACACTCAATGCAAGGAAGAAAACAATGAAAACAAAGGGCCTCGCTACCAAGGTCTGGTGTTTGAGAGTCCAGTGACTCTCCCTCACGATATCATGCTCTGGCTCTCTTCCCTATACCTTCCTTTTGTGTTATACAATATCAACAACAACAAGCCTTGTCCCACTAGGTGAGGTCGGCTACACGAATTATATGAGATGCTCATCCCTCTTCTTGAAACAAGTATTAGCAATCTTGAAATCATATGCTAAAAAGAAATCAAGGATATGTTGTCCTTCATTATTTAGTTCCCCAAAACCCAAATCACCATGCACCCTCGTATAATGACTTACCTCCCTCCCGATATGTCCATTAAAATCTCCTCCAATAAAGATCTTTTCATTATGTGATATGCTTTTGATCAATCCCTCCAAGTCTTCCCAAAATAATTCTTTAAGATTGGCTTCTGTCCCAACTTGAGGTGCATAAACACTAACAATATTGATAATCTCCCATTGGATGATCATTTTTAAGGAAATAATCTTGTCTCCAATTCTATTAACTTCTACCACATTCTTCTTTTGTGTCATACATTTCCCTAAAATATCCACTATCTTAAAAGGCTGTTATCCTCATCAGGCCTTGATTTCCTGACCCATTTTGACTCTCTTGGCATATGCCTTGTCCCACAGCCTGATAGCCCATTTGGTTCATTTAATTGTAAGGAATGTAATGTAATAATGAGTTTGTTTGGTATGACATTGGGAATGTTAAAGATAATAATTTTTTATATTTATTTTAATAATTATAAAAATCAGAATATTGAAATTCCCTCATAGCAGCTTTCCCTTCTTCCTTTCCTTTGATCACCTTCTTCCTCCTCGCATAATCAATATCAAAAATCATAATAAGGCATAACAAAAAGAGAAATGGGGGGATTCTCATCATTGCATTGCTTGTAAGTTATACAGTCCCTTTAGTGATAAGGAAATTGAATAAATCAGTTGTTTTATGGGTGGAGTGAAGCTACTCCTCTCTTTAAAAAAAATAAAAATAAAAAATTCTTACAATATTTCAAGTTGCATGTAACAATAATGCAAAATCTTGTCTTCATTTTTTTTTTAAGTAGAAAATGAGAATTTAATTCAGAGAGATGGGAAAAATTATAATGAAGCCGATGAACATTTCTCATGAGAAAACAAAACACGGATCTGAATTATTTGGCGACTTTCCTAATCATCAAATCAAGTATTGAAGAATGACATTTCCCCCCTTCTGGGTAGACATTGAAGTATGTCTTTATTAATGTAAATGAGAGACAAAATAAGATGAAGTTATATTCTGAATTGTCTGATTATTGTCCATTTACCTCTGTTGTTCAAATTTTTAAATGTTTTTTTTTAATAGACTTTGGAAGATGGAGACATGGCACTTCTTGATATGGGAGCTGAATATCACTTTTATGGGTCTGACATAACATGTTCGTTCCCTGTGAGTATATCTAATAACAATCACATGTGGTCTTTCTGCTTGGTTTCCCCCTTACATGCAGTGACATTTGGAGTCAAGGAGCTGAATCAGTAGATTAGTGTCTGTCAAATTGCTTCAGGCTTTACGCATCTTTTTCTGCACATTGACATATGATGCTGCTTTGGTCATCATTATTGTTGCACCAACTTGAACTTGAATTCATTTGATTTGAGCATGCCAGACGTAACTAGCAGTAGTATTTTTTTGGCATCTAGATAACAATTGTGTGTGTGTGTGTGTGTCTGCATTGTTACGTGAGAAATGTCTGATTGACATGCCAGTTTGTAACAGATTTTGATGTGAAATAAGAGTGATACTATAGCCTTATATGTGCAGCTAATGCCTAAAATTAATTGAAAGTTGAGAAATGAAATAAAGTCATCATAGGGAAAGTGGAGTTGAAAGCTGATAAAATACTGATTAATGAGAGATAATGGGTGATTTGGGAAGTTAGAGAAATATTGAGAATAAATATTATTTTTAATTTATTTTAGATATTTTCTACTTGATAATATTATTTAGATTTTATTTAGATATTGATAGAACCCTGCTGAAATAACAGAGGATAACACCAGAAAAAAGACAACAGATGGAATAAATGAGGGAAAATGCTGAGGTTTTGTTTAAATGTGCTGGAAACAGAATCAGTGTTATAAGAGTCCACTGATTCTATTGAAACCCTATTCTCCTGTAACAATGGCAACTAAAAATCAACAAAGCCACAGCACATAAATCACAAGAATAACACACAGCTACTGGCGTTTGAGAGGCCAGACTCTCCTTTCTACACTCAAAATACAAAATAATCCATAGAATGCCTCCTCACAGTAGAAAGACATTAATGTTACACGTTATGCTATTTTACAGTTATTTGATGGCTTTATTGTCTTTATGCTGATAGGTTATTATTGTCTTTTCATATATTTTTGCATTACAGATTAGTTATTGACATTATAAGACCTTACCTTTTGGGACACGTGTCTAGGTTTAGGGTATATCTTGTATCCCACGACCTTGGCACATTTTTGTGAATGAAATCAGTCTCTTCTCTCCCTTCTTCTCTCTTCCCTTAACATTTTGGTATCAGAGCCATCTCTTCAACCATGGCTCTGTCAGAGACTCGGTCCTCTACTGAACGCGTTGTATCCTAGTTTTCTACCCAGCTCAATGACATTAATGCCAAGCTTTCAATGATTATTAATCAACCTTCACGTTTTGCTAACCTTGAAGCCGGTGAACCTTCCCAAGCTCCCGCCGTGACAAATACACCACCTAGACCGGCAGCTTCAGCCTCTCTCCTACCAATCAATATTCCACCACCCTCATTTCCTAGACCAACCACGTCCTCCGCAACAGCTCCTCCTCCTCCTCTATCAACCCCACCTCCTCAGTTTGGTTTGTTCCAAGGACTTATTCCCACCTCTCAACCTTCTCACTCTATTCCAACCAAGCACAACAGAGTAGAGTTTTCGAAATTTGATGGTACCGATTTCAGAGGATGGGCTTATAGGTGTCGCCAATTTTTTGAGATGGACGAAACACCTGTCGAGCATCGCATCCGTCTTCTTAGTATCCATTCAGAGAAATGCACCTTGCGTTGGCATCTCGCTTTTGTAAAACAGAGGCGTTTGTCGGACCTCTCTTGGGATGAATATTTTCATGAGATGGAAGCTAAGTTTGGGGATATTAAGGATGAAAACCCCATGATTGCTATTAAGAAGCTCCAGATGCAAGAGTCTGTGGAAGAGTATGAAGAGAAATTTGATGAGTTACTCACCAAAGTCGACTTATCTGAAGTTGCTGCCATGAATTGTTATATAGGTGGCCTTAGGAGTGATGTGCAGCAGAGTGTTCTTAGTCTACAACCCACATCTTTAGCCAGTGCAATGAAAATGGCCAGGCGTCAGGTTGCAACTAGTAAGGCGATTCACGAGAATGCTCCCCCCCAGCACTGCGTAAGCCTTTTCACGCCTCCTCTACGTTTTTTGCATCAGCTGCTTCTTGATTTCTGCCTTCCTCTCTATTGGGCCACAAGATCGAACCGAACCCCAACCCCCTTCCGTCTACGGGCCTTACTGTTGATAAGCCCAAATCGTTCAGCTCCACCAGTATATCCAGTTCAGCTTCGTCCAGACCCACTAAGCAGCTTTCCAAGCGAGAGATGGACGAACGACGTTGCAAGGGGCTTTGTTATTGGTGTAATGAACAATATAGCAGCACCCATAGATGCCGAGATTCCTATCTCTTCGCCCTCATCGTCGAAGATGATTCAGAACTCTTTGAGGATGCATTAGAAGAGATCGAGCCTTTACCCTTTATTGGAACAGTGAATGCAATTGAGGGCAAAGAAGGCACGTCTACGCTGCATCTCGCTAGCCGCGTAAAACGTTAGAGCATCATTATCCTAATTGACATGGGAAGCACACATAATGTCTTAGATTTAAGGGTAGCTAAACAGCTTAAATTGAAGGTTCAAGAACGGGATGGCATTCGAATTAGTGTTGCGGATAATCGGGAGCTATTAGTCTCCAAATGCTGTTCGAATCTGGAATGGGAAATGGGGGCTTCTTTCTTTTCTTCTGATTTTATAATCATGAAGGTTGGGGCATTCGATATGATTTTGGGTGCTCAATGGCTTAAAACCTTAGGGCGTTTCTCCATGGACATGGCAGAGCATCTATTCGAATTTCATCAAAATGGTCAATTAATTACACTAAAGGGGATGAGCTACAGAATACCAAAGCCCATTATGCACATGACTCTCTTTGATGGTGATAAAACCATGGCTGATCATCTCTACCTTATTCATATTCCTCAACACTTGCAGGTACAGTTACCTTGCAACTCTTCTCTTTCTTTTGATCAGCGAAACCAATTGCACAATTTACTCGACTCCTTCACTGATGTTTTTATTGAGCCCACTACCCTGTCACCTTCTCGTTCTTTTGACCACTCCATTCCCCTTAAAGTGGACCAACCTGTGAGTTGTAGACCTTACCGATATGGACCTGTTCAAAAATCTGAGATTGAACAGCAAGTCCAGCAGATGCTTGATAATGGAATCATACGGGAAAGCAATAGTTCTTTTGCAGCCCCTGTTGTTCTAGTGCAGAAAAAAGATGGCACATGGCGTTTTTGTGTTGATTATAGAAGATTAAATGAAGCCACTGTTAAGAACAAATTTCCTATTCCAGTTATCGAGGAGCTCTTGGACGAACTTACTGGAGCACAGTTTTTCTCTAAGCTAGATTTAAGAGCCGGTTACCACCAGATTTGAATGAATGAATCTGATATTGCTTAAACAGCCTTTCGCACACATGAAGGCTTATACGAATTCATGGTCATGCCGTTTGGTCTCACTAATGCGCCCTCTACTTTTCAAAGCCTTATGAATTCGGTTTTCAAACCTTTCTTGCAGAAGTTTATCCTAGTTTTCTTTAATGATATCTTGGTTTATAGCAAACATTGGGCAGCCCATTTGGAGCACTTGAGAGCAACCTTATCACTCTTGCGGCAGCATCAACTTTTTGCTAAGGCCTCCAAATGCATTTTTGCAGCAACACAGATTGATTATCTTGGTCATGTCATCACAGTTGATAGGGTTCAAGCAGACCCGAAGAAACTAGAGGCCATAGCTTCTTGGCCCATCCCTTCTTCCATTAAAGCCCTATGAGGCTTCCTCGGTCTTACGGGTTACTATCGACGCTTTGTTAAAGGGTATGGTTCTCTCAGCAGTCCCCTAATTGAGTTGTTAAAGAAAAATGAGCCTTTCGTTTGGTCTCCTAAGGCTCAATCAGCTTTTGAATCCCTCAAGGCTTCCATGACTTCCTTGCCGGTGCTTGCTGTTCCCAATTTTAATGAGACCTTTGTGATCGAAACTGATGCTTTAGGGCATGGATTGGGCGCAATATTATCCCAAAATGGCCATCCTTTGGCTTTTGCTAGTAAGGCACTTTCTTACCGTAAGAGACAATTGTCTGTTTTTGTTATCAAGCAGTGGCGTTCTTATCTTTGGGGTTGCAAATTCATCGTCCGTACTGACCATTTACCTTTGAAGCATCTCATGGAGCAACGTGACTTGAGTCAAGAGCAGTGTAAGTGGTTGCACAAACTTTGGGGGCTCGACTATGAAATCGTTTACCGCAAAGGATGTGATAACGTTGCAGCTGATGCGTTATCTAGGCCTTCCGAAGGGGACTATTTGGCCATTTCAATGCCAATCTCTCCATTATATGAGAGGGTACGCGATTCTTGGCTTCTTGATGACCATTTACAGCAGCTGATTATAAGTCTGGAAACTAATCCCTTTTCTTATCCTAAGTACACTTGGGAACACCAATTGTTGAAATGAAAGAGTAAGCTGGTGGTGGGTGCTAATCGAGGTCTTCGGGAGTCTTTACTTCAGTTTTTTCATGCTGATGGCATTGGGGGCCATTCAGGTATGATTCCCACCTATAAACAGCTTGCCTCTTTTTTTTATTGGAAAGGAATGGAAAAGGATGTTTGCAATTTTGTACGTCAATGCACTACATGTCAGCGCTTTAAACCAGAATTAATTGCCTCCCCTGGTCTTCTCCAACCCTTACCTATTCCGGAACATATTTGGTCCGAGCTCTTAATGGACTTTATTAGTGGCCTTCCCAAATCTTATTCTAAGACTACTATTTTAGTTGTTGTTGATCGTTTATCTAAGGCTGCACATTTCATGGCTCTCAAGCACCCATTTACTGCTGTAGATGTGGCCAATATCTTCATGGATAATGTGGTTAAGTTGCATGGGTTTCCTAAGTCTATTGTTTTTGACCAGGATCCTATTTTTTGTGGGAAATTCTGGAAGGAACTCGCACGGCTGTATGGGGTCAAATTACAATATTCTTCAGCATACCACCCCTAAACGGATGGCCAAATTGAGGTACTCAACCGCTGTTTGGAGTACTACCTCCGTTGCATGTCAGGAGATT